GTTAGAAATTAGAATGTTCAGTTCCTCTGTATTTGAATCATGATTATAGGATTGGTAGGTCACAACCAGCAGTCTCTCTACATAATATGAAGAGATGGGATTCCATTGCCTCAATTTCTTGATCTCATCAGTTGGAGTAGTCATGGGTAGCTTGTAGACAATCTTAAATGCTCTCATGTGAATACGTTCAGTATCCTCCATAAGTGCACTGCAGAGGAAACAGAGCCCCAAACAACCATATTATACACAATACTAAGAATAACTGAGTTGAAATAGATGGATTCCAAGATGGACTGAGGTAGGAATTTAATTTGTCTCAGAACAGTCAATTTCTTGTTAAACAGTTTCCCAATATTCCTAATATTATTCTGCCGAGATAACCTATTGTCAATAGTTAAGCCAAGACATTTAGATGAAGACTTGAGCTTGATGGTCTTGGTGCCATATGTTAAAGCTGGTAGCTTGCCTATAAAGTTTGATCTCTATTTTATCATTGCTTCAGTCTTTGACTCATAAGCAATTAGTCGGTTGGCTGTGGACCATGTGTGCAGCTGAACCAAAATTTGTTGAAGCAAAGAGATGATCATACCTACATACATACATATATATACTTTATTTAACCTCGAATTTAGAGTAGCTAAAGATAAGCTAGTATCTTTGAGTTACAAGTATAATTCTAAATACTACTAAAATGTAAAATGTAAAATGTAAAATTGTAACATTCTAAAATTTAACTATGAAAAAGAGTCATACTGTAGAATCTTGCGGTCGAAATCAGGAAAGTCAGACATTCTAAAGGAATCGGGAAGAGAGTTCCATAGCTTTGAAGCCATATATGATAAGGAGTGAAGACCATAAGTAGTAGTTTTTGTAGACGGTAGAGACAAAATATAATTTCTGCATAGACTATAGGATACAGACTGGAACTGAACATATTCCTTAGATAGCCTGGATAGCAGGTAAAAAACAAGCTCTTGTACAATATAATTAAGAAAGTCTGAAGGTGTATTTTATGCAGAGATTTGGAGTTAACTTTGCTAAGTAGAGAGTCGTATGGAGAATTATAATCCTGCAAGATAAATCTAAGAATTCGCTTGTTTAAAGAATCTATCTTCTCGGTACTATGCGCACCACAAAAGTGCCATACAGGCAAACAATAGTTAAAATGTGGCATAATAAAAGCCTTATATAATCTTAGTAGAGTATCTTTAGAGATAAGTTTACGAAATCTTAGCATTACATTGAACTGGCCATTTATCTTCTTACAAATAGTTGATATATAATTATCAAAACGCAACCTATTGTCAATTTTTATTCCAAATATATCCAAAGAATCTTCTAATGGAAAAGAGAAGGAGTGGCCTGTTTTTCCCAAGACTATAGCCTGGTGTTTTGTCTCATTTACAATCATTCCATTGCTGCGATACCACTTATTTGCAACTCTCACTTCCCGACAAATACAGTTCTCTAGAGCTACTGGGTCGACATCAGAAGAGTATAACTGATGATCGTCCGCATATGCGTGAAATTTACCTTGCGTAACCGAGTAAAACAAGTCGTTGATGAATATATTAAAAAACACAGGCCCCAAAACACTTCCTTGCGGAACTCCTCTTTTAACATCTTTCCAACTGGAAAAGGTGTCCCCAATCTTGACTCTC